ACTTAATCAGCCCGGCACACTTAGATCTCCTGCAGCAGGCATATAACATGCAAGTGCTTTAGCATGAAATAAATAAATCACCTTGTGTGTTTTCTTATTTCAGCTCATAGTTATAACTTAAGTCACTTCCTGTGTTTCAGTTGCGTCATCCAGCACTTGCCAGAAACGTCCAGTTAACTACACAGAGGAATAGTTTCCATGAAGAGGGCCAGTAAGTGTGTGTGTGTGTGTGTGTGTGTGTGTGTGTGTGTGTGTGTGTGTGTGTGTGTGTGTGTGTGTGTGTGTTTTCCAGCTAGGTCAAGGCACAGGGATTTTCCTCAGTGAGAGCATGGAGTGTATTTTTAGGTGGGGGAACAGGGATGGATGGATGGACAGAGGCAGCTGGGGTGGAGGAGTGGGACAGCAGAGGGGGAACAACTCCCTCATGACTCAGAGTTGGTCTAATAATACACTGTGGGTCCGAAATTCAGGCGTGCATTATTGCTCTCGGTACAAACAGCTTGTATAGCTTGCTCTGTTTAATAAACAGACCTGACAGAACCATTCATTTACTGTAACCACTACGTATTACAGGTTTTAATCGAACAAACACCTTAAAGGAATAGTTCTACCCCCCCAAATAATCATTTGTAGATCAAAAAGTAATCCTGTGATGATAGCTTGTTGAAACACAACATATTATTTATTCTAATTTGTAAGTACATGGGTTTTACATCTGTGTTTGTGGAGTTTAAAATGATAATATTTTGACAAAAATACAAGCTGGTACTGATTATACAACTAAAAACATGAGATTTGGATTGTACTGCACAAGTTGTGTTAGTGTTTGTTGACAGTTTGCTGTTGTTAAACGGGGGACCAATCATCTTCAATTTTCCAAGAATGTTCTTTTCTTGGTATTCCTTTAAGTGTTACATCTTATCCACTACACTGACCTCTTATCTGAATATCTACTTTAACAATCACTCACTGTAAGTCTTAAAGCATTTGCAGAAACTAGGTGGTGTAATAACAGCAATAGCCAAGATAGAGAAAAGAAGGATATAAATTGAAGAGGGACAAACAAGAGAGAAGACATCCATTGTGGTAAAGAGATGGACACACACAGTTAAACGTGTCACTAAAACTATCAGAGAGAGACAGGCAGATTCTAACAATAACCCGCAACATATGTTGATTATAAATAGAGAACAGCATGAGACTCTCTACTCAGAACGTCACCCTCCTTCATTCCTGCCCCCCACAGCAAATGGTTTTCCCCACTCTGCTGCTGCTTTAACATGATCCAAGAGGAAGAGCCTCGCGGAGGGAAGGAGCTCTCAACTGGAGACAGTGTGTCCCCTGTTGGTCATACCGGCAATATCATCCTCTGATAACATTAAATTAGATGCAGAAATACTGAACATGTCTGTGGTGTACAAGGTGGTTTTTATTTTAAGTTGTAGATACAAAACAAGTCATTTACTGGCTTTACAAAGCATTTGCCAATCAAGAAAACTTGAACACATTTTGTTTGATAAGTTATTTAATCAAAGGCTATTTAATTGTTTCTACTGGGCAGACGGTGCCTCCATTTGATAGTCGCATGCACATAAACACAGCTAAGAGTTGAGGCAAAAACAAAAAAAACACTGTTTAAAAGTAGAAAAATCCACTGAGAAAAGATATTAAAATGGCATTAAGGAGTTGCTTCATTTGAATAATACTTTTTCAGGTTTGCCAAAATTCTGGATTGGTGAAGTATTTAAAAGAAGCACAATGTAATTCAATATACCTAAGCCGTATACAACTGTATTAAACGAACGCATCAAAATCCCCTTTTCAGGTGTTTTTTCTCCTTCTGAAAGGAGAGCAGCACAGCTTCAAACTGGATTCAACAACTTTTTAAAGGCAGCAAAGATAGTACTTATAAACGCCACTTTGCAACCAATTTTCTGCAGCTTGTTATTCAACAGGACTTGTTGGGTTGGGCTGATTTATAAATGTTGATTGCTTCTCAAATTTGGGTTTAGAAAATGTGTGTACTGTCAAATGCTCACAGAAATCAAGACAGTTTTGCTATTTAAAGAAAGCCCTTTTTTTGTTAAGACACCAACTGGCAGAGGACACTGTGGAAGATTGTCCTGCACAGTTTACAGAACAGCAAGGCTGGTTTTATCAGGAAACCATAATCAGGTATCAGATGTATCAAAAGTGGAATAAGGCCCGAAAATAATTCTTATAAAGCAGCTTAAATTCAATGACAAGCAAGCAGCATGTAGTAGCATGAAGATTATGCAATGAAGTACAAACAGCTGATAAGACCTGGTCACACTTGTCAGTCTGGATCTTTCTTCAGAGATAAACAACTGACAGGAAAACTAACACTTAGGTAGTGCAAAGATTATAAGTTAATAAAAAGCCAATTAATACTCTGTACTGCAGAGCTATTGAGTTGCTCTCATTTTAATCGACCCACAGCCAGAAAACCAATCTGGAAAGAGATGTGTGTGGCATAAAAACATGGCACGTAAAGGTAGAGTAAGATGTCTCCACAGTGCATGGAGCGTGTGTGAGTGTGTGTTTAACTTCATCAGGGAATGTGAAAGGAGTCCTTGATCCACTGGTCCCTGGAGTTGCTGCTTGGTGGAGGCAGAGACAAGGATGAAGAGGATGGAGGTTGTGAGATAACTCCTGCCTCCTCCTCATCTTCCTCGTCCTCGGAGGAGGATCCGTTATCAGCAGAGAGCGAGACATCGGACAGCAGCGAGGAGCCCTTAAAGTCCTGGATGGACTCATGGAGGGACCACAGCTGGCACAGCAGAGACATGTCCAGCTGACGCAGACCGACCTGTTGCACAAAAACACAATCTGTTGTGGCCAACAAAGACTAACACATGAGGAAACTTTGAACTTTCCCTTATAAGAAGTTTGACAAAAACAAATATCTTTGTGTAATGCACAACAATATGCCAACTGAGCAAACAAAAAAAACTAGGAAGTGGACAATGAGTTTAGATTATTTTTTTGATTTCTCATCATAATTGCTTAAAGAGTGACTAGTTTCAAGTAGAAAATGTATGTCACACAGGTAGACAAAGGCAGGATATTTGCAGAACACATGTTTTTACTGCACCTTGGCTATTAAACAAACAAATAATAGGCCTAGTAGGCCTATACTTAAAATAGTTTGGCTCAATTTAAATCAATGTTCTTGCAGGATTATTGCCGTTTTGAGTTTGTATCGCCATGGTTGACTACACATTGTAAGCAGCTTTCGATAACTGGCCAGATAATTAAATGTAATGGTGTAACTTCACCATCTCTTTCCGCAGCAGAGCCAGAGCAGCGTCCAGTCCTCCCGGCTTGCCGTGTCCGCGCTGCCCGTCCCCGCCGCCCCGGTTGATGTCGGCCTGGATGCGCGCCCTCTTGCTGTGGACCTTCTCGATGTCCCGCCACGACCCGCCGCTGGAGTTCAGGATGCCGCTCAGGCCTTTGGGCAGCGGCGGCAGCCCCTCCACCGAGGAGACCCCAGAGGCACCGCCCCCGCCCGGACCGTCCGCCGCGCCGCGCCGACTCCCGTTCATCACCCCGCGGACAGCTGACTCAGCACGAGACGCCACGGCACGCTTTCTGCATGGATCGATCACTTTCAAATGCGCATAAATGCTGTCTCACTCTCACCATCACCCAAAGGTGCTATTTGTTTCCCCTTACAGCAGCGGCGGTTTCCCCAAGTCTTGAAAACAATATTAGAACAAATCAATGGCTGTCTCGTGGATGTGAGTGTCTACAGAAGGAGTGAATTCCGAGTTAATGTCACAGCTTCCTGGCTTTGTTTTGTTTCCTCTCCTTTGTGTGGGAGAGTTCACCCACAGACAGCCCCCGGCTCCTCCCGGCAGTCCCCGCGCCACGCCCCACTGTCTGGGGGGAAGAAAGCCTGTCAGAGGGTTGTTTACCTGGAATACTGCTGAGTCACGTTTACACACAAGCAAATACATACACTATAAATGACATTCTAGGCATAGTCATGATTTGATAGACTGCTAAATTGATAAATTAACCACACCAAATAAATAAACTATTTAAAATAATCAATTAATAATTATTGCACACCAGCAGATGGGTATGCAATTCATGGGTCACATTTAAACAGAAATGCAGTTTACAGGTTTAGGCGCCGTTTACACGAGGAGAAAACTGCTTGTATCTGCATAGTTTCGCGTGCGTATAGCCCTATTATTTACACGAGGCCGATAGAAACTGACCCCACAAACAATAACGGGTCCCAAGGTGGATAGATTTGCAAACGAAACGCTCTGGGGGGTCAACCGAGTCCGTGTAATCACCTCCATACGAATATTTCCTGAAAAAATAACGATAGCCCCGCCTCTCCCCACCTCTCCTGCTCACTGCTGAAGCAACTATCAAAAATAGCTGTGTTAATTAAACGCACAAGGGGTTCTTGAATGAAATAATATTATAAAAGGCAAACCAGAATTGTTAACGCCCAATATACTCCTTAAACAAAATAAACATTCATGCATTGATCCATTATATTGACAAAGGAGGATCTCACCCGGTGTTTGTAGAGAATCTCTCTCTTTCTGAGCCGTCCTCTCCACGGAGACGTGCTTCTTGGGGGATGCAATATCCACAGATTCAGTTTCTTTCAGTTTCAGTTTCGGGGTTTAAACAGAAGGGTAGCCATGGCAACATTGCAGCGGGCTGCTCGGTTGCTCTTCTTCGCGGCTTTTGGTGTATTTTGGCGGAAGTTACAGCGCCACTTACAGTCCCAGCATATGTACTACAGCATTTCCAGCGGCCTCGTTTGAACAGACACGTTAAATGAAACAAATGCATGTGAACAGAAGACTTTTTTGAATACGCATACTGTGCATAAACGCAAACGGTCCCGTGTGAGCGGGGCCTTATTTGCACGTTTAAACAAAGCGTTTTCCTAACAAACTTTGTAGTTTTGCATTTGGCGCCCTCTTGTGGAAAGAAACAAAATGCATCACTCCTTTTCAGGCAAAGCTTTATTCAGGTAAATAATTCGAAACTTTTAACCGCCTTGAACAACACTGAAGCTGGCTTTTATCTAATATGAAGTGCTGTCTAGTTTGTTTGCTCGAGATGGTTGCAATGAAAAAAAGAATTGTGAGTCTGACACCTGAACGTCTCATCTGAGCATCACTGAATCACATGACCATCATCATCACCATCATATATCAAATATATTTACAATAAAAACCTCCAAACTGCCCGCACACAATGAAAATCATTGCAACACCAGAGGGTCAGACATGACAGAAATCACTCTGAATGTCTGGACAGTAAATAGAAAAATTCACCTTCGATCAGAGGACCGACTTCCTATTCATTTCAATTCATGACTTAGTCTGGTACTATGTTGTTTATCAGCACATCACACTAATGTTACATAATTATACAGACCTCCATGCACTGTTTTTTTTTTAATTTTCTGATTTGCAAAACAAAAATTACTTTTTGGGTACTTAAAATAATCAAATAGAGAACTCATGTAATTTTCCCAGATGTCAAATTGTTGGCCATTTCCATTACAATCAACTATGGAAGTCCGTTCACAGTGTTTTACTGTAGGATACAGATGAAGTCCTTTAAAAAAAAAAAAAAAAAAAAATGGCCAGATGGTTTTAAATTTACACCAATGATGAATGAGCATTAAGAACTGTTCAGTCCGTATCATTATATCATAACTTACAAATTGTCAAAAACGGTCAGACGTTAAAAACATTTGTACTCAAACATATATTGAAACAATGTAACATGAGATTTCTGCCAGCCATAAAGGTATGTAAACTCAAGAGCAACATGTGAACTGTTGACATTTAATCCTATTTCAAGTGCATTTCCTGACCAATTTTGAATTCAGCTCTATGCAAGGATTCAGTCAAGAGAGATGCCGCAAAGCAGCGAACCAGAGTCAGTATTCCTGGATAGAGGCAAGTAGAAAGAGCGATCCTGTGGATCCAGGGTTACAACCACCTCCATGACGCTTACTGGCTGAGCTCCTTGAGGCTGCGCAGCGAGTTGGCACAGCTGGCGATGAGGCTGCACAGCTGGATGCTTGTTTCCAGGGAGGCCGAACTCTGTAGCTGGCTGGTGGCCCAGCGTAGTTTGATTAGAACCGCTTCCTCTGCCTCCTGCAACAACGGAGGGATCACAGGGCTCTGTGGACTGACGGGGGCTCGAGGGGGTACCAGGGCCGGGGCGGGGGCAGGAGTTGTAGGAGAAGGGACAGCAGGCAGAGGGAGGAGGGCTCTCCCTCCCGCGGCAGCCCCCTCGCAGTGCTCTGGTCTGGGCTGAGGCACTAGGACACTTGCCTGACTGGTGCTGGGGCCTTCGTTGAGTTCAGGGGCCGGGGGCGGGGTGGGGGGGGCAGCGGCCTGGGCTGCCAGCTGTCGCTCTCTCACCTGGGACAACGCTGCCTGAGCATTCAGAGCTGAGGGGAGAGCAAGAGGGAGAAAATAAGAAGTGGGAACAAGCACAGATAACAGTTACAAAAAGCTCAAGGCAAGAAGAACAGAAATTGAGTTAAGAACAAATATATATGTGGATGCAGCATAATAACAAAATAAATAAGACATCTGGTTTGATTATTTCTTTAAATGCATCAAATATTAGTGTGTGTATACCAGGGTTATCCTTATCCACATCAGAGTCCAGCTCCTGACACGAGACACAGTAGAGTTTCTGCTGTTTGTCCTGGAGAAGAATTGTCTGGAAACCAAAAAAAACATACTTATTTCATGACTCATGTTACCCAACTCCAGGTTGTCTACATTATGAAGGAACTACCAAAATCGTAGCATAAAAATCCAACAATCAAAAGCCTCTCCTTACTCACCCCACACACATCACAGCAGTCCCCCAGCATCCTGTATCCTTTGAGCAGGTAGCCTCCCATCAGCTTGCTGATTTTGTCTTGTCGCTCCTTGCGAGCCTGGATCACCTTCATCTCTGCTTCTGTTGGTGGCTCCCAATCAAAAAAGTCCTTGTCATCTGGGGTCAGAAACAAAGTGCTGATTTAATAAAATTGTTTCATTACATTACATTACATGTTACTTGTTAGACGCTTTTATCCAAAGTGACTTACATACTCAATACTGTGGACAATCCCCACAGGAGCAATTTGGGGTGAAGTGTCTTGCCCAGGGACACAACCACTGTACAGCACTATTATCAGTACAAAACACAGTGCTTTGTGGTGATAATATCACATATAAACAGAGCTGGGAGAAGTTCTTAGATCTTGTACTTGACTAAAAGTAGAAGTACCAGAGTGTAGTAATACTCTGTGACAAGTAAAAGTCCTGCATTCAAAATGTTACAAGAGTAAAAGTACAAAAGGGTTAGCATCAAATATACTTAAAGTACTAATTGTGCAGATTCGCCCATTTCAGAATAATATAACTTACATGTTTTGATTATAATTATTGATGCATTAGTGTTATAAAAGCTGGTAAAGGTGGAGCTAATTTGCATCGTCGGTTAGCTTGTGAATGTTACTCCGGTTTGAACTAAAGTCTTATTCCAGTGTTATATTTTACATCATTTGCAAAGTAACTAAAGATATTAAATAAATGTAGTTGAGTAAAAGTACATTTACCAATTTTCAGGGACTTGTACTTTACTTGAGTATGTTGCTGCAAAATACTCAAGTAAAGTACAAGTCCCTGAAACTTGTACTAAATTCCAGTACTTGAGTAAATGTACTCAGTTACGTTACACCACTGCATATAAATAGTTATTGGCACTGCTGTAACGTGTGTGTATACGTTGTGTTAGCCTTTAGTCTACTATATAAATTGGATTTTACAGGACTTTTACACTGATTAGAACATGTATACACAACTCTGTGCTTGTTGCGTTGTTGCAAAACGTGATTAGCATTGCCGCAGTGCTCTGCTAGGAAATAACAAGCTAGCTAGCAAACCAGCCGGGCTAACGTCAGCTAACGGTGGTGACGAAAACAATGTTGGTACAAATAAAAGTACACACGAGAATGCTACATACATGTGTGACAAAACACCTATACACCACAACAAACCAGGTGACTGTGAGAAATGTCAAGTTAGCTTACTTATAAAGCTCATAAGTTAACAAACCTCCATTCAGAGCCATGTTGCTTCAGTGCTGCACGTTGTGCGTGATGACGTCAGAATCCTCAAGTGTCGTCTTCTTCTTCTTTGAGGTTTTAGGGGTTTTAGGCATCAGTTTCTTCTGCTGCCTCCCTCTGGATAAACAATGTAAACATGTTTTAATTCTGTTTTGAGCCAATGGTAAGTCCCCAACGTTAGCTCTCCAAAGATTTAAATATGTTATTGTTGCACAGAAGCTACAGTGGCAACTATCATTTTAAATCCTAGGCTGCTTCAACAATGCTACACAAATGTATATAGGACATAAACAATAAAAAAGATTGCAAGAACAACATAACAAATACAAATAGTGAAAATATAAAGTAGCCATTTTCTGTCCTCCACACTGTGTCCACACACATTATTTTTGATTTATACTGGTTCCAATTGTTATATCACTTTTACACATATGCCTAAGTGATATCAATCAATCACAATATATCCAACAATACAAAAACAATCAAGGTAGGTGCACAAATTCATTGACCTGATAGCCTACTTGTTTTTGGAGGAGAAAACTGTTTTCAGATTATAATAAACCTAATGAGCTGTTTAGAGTTAATACATTTGTATTTTTGCTGACTTCTGAAAATGTTCATTTTGTATTTTGTTGTTTTGTATCAGTATTATCTGATCTACTGTTGGACTGAGGAAAAACAATCTAGCCATTTCATTGTTGTCCGGGGCAAGTTGAAATATGTCGATTGTTTCATATTGTTATGACAAGCAAGCAATTTCATTTCCACAGAGTGAGAGACAGAAAAATAATCAGCAAACACAGAAACCATCCCACACCAAAGTTATTCTGTTTTTAGAATATTTTTTATTAATTATACGTTTTTCAACTTCACATCAAAAACTCAATCTAATTTAAAGGAAAGAGAAAAGTTTCAAAATAAGTGTAACAGTGTACATCAAACAATAGAGGCTTTTATAGGCTTCCAACTGAATTCCCATCTTCCAATCACGCTCTGCAGGGAGGGGGAACTGATTGTGTGCATATATGTGTGTTTCTACAGTCTTTGGTCTCTAAATGTTACATACAATTAAGCAGGGAGAGTACTCCCTCTACAGCTAAAGGACATTCATTTAAACAAAAACAATAACAAAAAAATATGTGAGTGTCCTTAGTGGGTTGACAAGGTAATTATGTTCAGTTTCTCTTTAATGTTAAATGGGTTCATTACATCAGTCACATATTTCTTCTTGGTTTTGTGCCACATTCCCTCGTTGTCTTCCAGTCTTTCTGTGAGTTTCATCTCCTCCTGATGGTTAACATCCTCTCTAGGAAGAAGCAAAAACACAAAGAGAAGATTACAATACATACTATATTAAATTGTTTCAACATTATGCTGCATGACACATCCCCTAACATTCAATATTCACATAAAATGACCGTATTGATGATCACTGAACTGTGTTCTTTGTGGCCTGCCACAAAAGTGACCGTATATCAAATAATATTTTATTCCCACATCTGATAATTATCCATATAGATAAATTGTGCGAATGAACCTCACCTTTAATATGGAGTGGTCTCTTTCAAGACACTGTAAGAGAAGAACAAGAAAAATGATAATTTAATTTATAAAATGCTTTGAACAAATGTCACCTAAATTGTTCTCTTTACTTGGCTATGTGTACAATAAATTGCAGCAAAGTGAATTCATACTTACACTGATGTGCAGTCTTTACTCTGCAGGAAGAAAATAGAAAAAGAGAAGATAATTAGTAGCCATCGGGTGCATTGGTAACCGTAAATCTTACATTTGTTTGTGTGAGTTATTGAAAAAATACCTTCAGGTTTGGGGTGCATGAGCATCAATGGCAGCTCCAGTGTGACATCACTGCAGAGAAAACAAACCAGCCAATCAGAATAAAACAGGTATTTTGTGATCACTGCTAATTGGCTGCATGAGTCAGGATATGATTTTAAATAAACTTGACAAACGTTATTTGGAAAATAGCATTTTCTGATAAACTTTATTCACCTGGAAGTGAGGCCACCAAGCAGGCTGCATGAAGACAAGACAGAGTTTGTTTTAGTTTATTCATAACTTCTTAATTACGTTTCCATGCACCAAAAGTACTTAACTAGGAAAGGACACCTACCCTCCTCCAGCCACCATGAGGTTAATTTTAATCTTGTAGGAAACCAGGATTCCCAAAACCTCTTTTTCTAGACCCTGTCGCAGCCTGGGGAGAAAAGAATAACAAGGATTTGAGGGATTAGAAGGTTTAATGGGGCGAAGCCTGCGAGCTAGTTCAGGCAGTCAACTCGAGCACTTGTGCTGCATTCATACATAACGCCCCTTGCCACTCTACAACCAACCAAACAGAGTCTTCTTAATATGCCGCTCTATTTAACCTGCCAGATATCTCTCCATGCATTGCTTGCTGCTGCTTTGCTGCAGCTACTTCTACGTCACTGCTCCTTGCCTGCCCCACCACCACCCAGCTTCCACCCCAGCTTCCACCTGTAGGCTCGGGGGTTTAATCATCACTCATCGTGCTATGTATATCTACTGTATGGAGTGATGATGCCCGAGCCTAGTCGCCAAACTCAACTATATGCTGCTTCTAATAAATATGTTAAAGGAACACGTGAGTTGTCTGACTGAAATATAGTTACGTGTCCTTTAAAGTTAATATACAGCAGTTTAGACACAGAGTGAGAATCCTACTTTAGACAGTGCACTTACATAGTGGTGGAGGCCAGGTTAGTGTCCTCATCCTTCAGTCGCCCGTCCAGTGACAGCCCCCTCTTCTCCTTGTTTTCAGCCAGCAGGGGGGTGATAGTCAGAGTATTTTCATAGGTGCCGTTGGACTCCACTGTCTCTCTGTACACACAAACAAACACATACATTAACACAACAAACTGGAGCTTGTGTTTTCATTGATTTTCTTTTTACTGTGGTTCTTCAGTTGTCTGTCCACCTACCCAAACTCTTGGCAGAGAACAGCCTTGGTGTATTTGTCTGCTGAGTAAAGGACGATGTCTGTGAGTTGTTCCACTGTGAGAAGAAGGAAACAGATGATTATGCTTTGCTCTCAGTAACAGTGATGTTAAAGTGTTTCTGTGAAAAGAGGTACCCACCACTGATTTTGAATTTCTTGACTGTTTTGTTGCTCTCGTTGTTGATTTTGATTTTGATGGGGATTGATTCGCCATGGAAGTAGAGCTGTTCTCAAAAGAAACAACAGAAAACAACAAGTTGATGCTGAGATATTGCGGTATTTGTGGTCTTAGTCTGCTTTTACACTCACTCTGGTAACATTAATGTTGTTTTAACGAAAAAAAAGACACTTTAAACAGTAAAGTTTTGCTACTGTACATCTTTTTCCAGCGAAGCTTCGAGGTGAACAGGCTTGTCGGACAACATGAAGCTTTTGCAGATATCAGCCTTGGGCCCGGCGCCAATCTGGGAGGGGGCAAACTGGATTTTACGAATGACAAGGCGAGCTGTGTCCCTGGGGAAAAAAGGGGATAGCCAAAGTAGAGAAAATGTTAGTCAGGCAACATAGTGAGACAGACGGTAGAAAGTTGAAGTATGGTAGTGAAAAAGACAACCTGAAAGTGTACTCACTTCTTTTCAATCTTCTCATCCGGATCGGACTTCTTATTAGCAATGAAAGTTTTGATCTCAAAGTCGACACCACAAGCCTGCGAAACACAACATAAGATGTAAGCAGCCATTGTAATAAACAAACCTGCTTCCTCACTACAGGTAAGGCGAATGGTGTGGTCAGATTAGCACGAGCTTTACCTTCCCCTGATCATCTGGTCCAGGCTGCAGAGACACTGAGCATGGCAGGTTGGTGGGAATCTAGGGAGACAAAAATGAACATTTATAAATAACAGACGACTTTATTTACTTTGAAATCTGTTTAATAAATATGTATTTTCGGATATTGGTTTCAATCAATTGTCGGGCAAAAGACTCTGGTTCTGTGGTCAAAACATTCATGAGTTGTCATGTGATTTTGAGTATGGCATACTTTTTAATTTAATTTAGTATGCTCTTAACGGATTATATATAAAACATACATTTATCTCAAACCAATTAAACTCCCTATGTATATCAAACAAGCAGTTTATTCTACCATGACCCTTGACACAAAGCAACTCAACAATTTTGAGTTTTGAAAAAAGTACTGTTTGCTTTTTAATAGTCAGTATTAAAAATGTATAATATCACCCCAAAGAAATGTACGTAGATTCATTTAAACCTAAAACAAAAGCTATAATGTGTGGATGAGATCTGAAACTCTTTACACTTGTGTCTTAACATCTTGCATACTTCAAAAGAGAATGGTTTTGCGTCGTCTCCCGCCTTCTTCAGCAGGGTGTCGTGCATGGCGGACAGAGTGGGCTTGTGGCACTCAGGGTAGATCTGGAAGTGATGGATCCAGATGTCCTTCCTGAAGCACAGGCCCATCACATCCAGGTCATCACTACCGTACCGGAAAGCACATGCCAGCTGCACAAACACTGTCAACACACAATGGTAGAAACATATTTTACTTGAGTATTTTACTTCTCCACATGACTCAACTTGGGGTTGGTTTTTTAGGACTTTGAAATTGTAACTTTTTATCATGTTACCTTTCTTGTCTCCAAAATCCTTTGTGTCCAGCTTCACAACACCATCTGTAAAGGTAACAGTGCAGAAGACATTATATCAATCATCCTCGACACACAGATGTAGACACACACACACACACACATACACACACACACACACACACACACACACACACACACACACACACACACACACACACACACACACACACACACACACACACACACACACACACACACACACACACACACACACACACACACACACACACACACACAATGAAGAAGGAACGTACCGACTTGGTCCACTTTGTCCACGTGGTCCACATAGTCTCTCTTCCCCAGGTAGAGCGTGAGCTGTCAGATAAAGAGAATTGAAAACTGGAGTTAAAAGTCTGTTTCCAAGTATTTTTCATTGTTGAAAAAAAACACTAAACAAATCAAACAAGGGTAGAGGAAAATAAAAATCAACACATATAACTTACCCCTCCGTTTCCACTGGTCTTCTTGAAAACCCTGTGAAAAAAGCAGATGAGAAACACCCATTTAAAGAATATTTTTTTGCAGCTTCGTTCCTCTTACTTTGGCCGCAACAACAGAAATAATTTTGTACCTGGAGCTATTGACCTCCTTAACGAAGCTAGAGTATGAGTTGATGCACGTCATCCATGTGTGTGTCTGTGTAAAGTATTTGATTTGATTTTCTTGAATGTGTATCACTGTTTATTTATATAGCCCAATATCACAAATGTTACATTTGTCTCAGTGGACTTCACAGTTTGTACATAATATCAGTATGACAATACGACACCCTCTGTCCTTAGACCCTCACATCGTACAAGGAAAAACTTCCAAAGAAGGAAAAACCCCACAGTTTAAAGGGGAACATGGGAGAAACCTCAGGGAGAGCAACAGAAGAGGGATCCCTCTCCCAGGACGGACAGACGTGCAATAGATGCCGTGTGTAAATCGAAAAGATAATACATTTTACAGCATAGGTAGACCAAATGTTTGGAAATGCATGTGTCTATAATAAGAAGATGAATCCACAAGGATGTCAACAATCCTGTGGGAGCCATCAAGGAAGTAGTATGATGAAAGTCAGGCAGGACCACAGTGACAGGTTCAGCCACGACTCGAAATCCAGGACTCAGATCTAGGACTCAGGACTCAGGATCCAGGACACAGGATCCCTATTGTTGTTTAATTGTTCTATTTGGTATTAATTAAGATACATTGACTTTGACTCTGACCTACAGTACATCCAACAACAGTTGAATGTAGTTGCAGGACAATGGATTTGTTTGTGATTGTCCACATGAGTACATCCATTGATAGAGTGTCAAGATAAATTATGATTTGTTTTCGACTCTCAAGGTAATGTGGGTTCCTTGGCAAGCAGCAGAAGGGCCAGTAATCCCTTTCCCCTTTTATCCATTTAGGAAAAGCTTAGTGTGGAGCAGCTTTATCTTATCGTGCCCGGATTGAAAGGCTGGCAGAGGTGAGGGAGATACTTATGGTGAGCCAGGTTTCCTAAATAGCTGGTCACCTGAGGTACTGTCTGAGTCCACATTGGAACCAACGCATCAACCAACTAATCCGTAACAAACCTAAAATAAATATGTGTAAATGACTCTTCCATTTTAGGACTTGGCTTACACAGGTCAACTTTTGCAAATCTAAATTGGTAACGTTTTTTAAGTGATTACAGGGTTTAGGGTCAGAGTTTCAACTCCTTTTCAGCTGCTTTTCTTTTTTAAGCAAAGGGGACCAATTCAAACTTTAGTAACTTCTAAGTATTGTGTTTTGGTATAAGAAAATTATACAATGCAATACAACTGCCTCTTTATATGAAGCTTTGATGTTTTTAGTTTGAAGCAGAAGATTAACATTAAAACAACTGCATTTAGGGGACAAAAACAATATATCAAAATACAAATAATACTTACTTTGCCATCTTATATAATGTCCTCCGAAGAGTTCTATTGGAAGAAAAGAAAAAGGCAGGTTTAGCAGAGTTTTCAGGAGTTCACAGCATCAGTCAGAGGTTGGGATCAGGAGAGTGATCCTTTGCTGTCAGCTTTGTGGCAGCCGGAGTGATGTTTTGTTTTGAGGGTATCGAAGGGTAATCCTATGCAATAAGATTACACCATCAGTGTGAGGGCACCAAGCTTATCCGTTATCCCGACTGGCCTCTGTCCAACAGACACGGATTAACCCCGAAACCATACGGTACAAACTATTATGTCACGTCGCGTTTGAACGTCAGTGCCAAACCTGTTGCTTGTTTGGACTATTCAAGGACAGTTAAATGGATGAAACCTATTTAGTAACTTTCTGAAGTATTCCTGGACTCAATGAGACACTAACTTTAGCCCGGGCCCTGTAATACGGATTGCTAAAGAGAAGTCAAGAGAGCCGTAAGGATTTGATTAATGGTTCATCAACGATATAGTGTGGTTCCCAATTTCCCTTTACACATCGTAACTTTCCTGAGACTTTTAGGGATTCAAAGGTTTAATTCAATTATGTTTTATCTTGACTTTTATTATTTATAAACCTTTTAACTCTGTGCATTGAGTAAACACTTAACTGACCCTTTTCCAGGAGACCTACATGCATATGGGTTTGAATATTTGTTATGAGTCCCTTAATGGCATCTTGCCAATGTCTCACACTAGCAGACTAATAAAGAGCTTTTTTAAAATTGTTTTTGTCAATAATTGTAAGAATATTATTTTCTTATATTTCATTTTACAAGTATTGTTATATTTATAATGTATTATTTGTTTTTTTGGGTCCTCCTAATAAAAGCATTTCACACGATTGTACTTGTAGTGACAATAATCATCTTGAATCACGGATTTTATTAAATTGGTCTTTTAGTCATTATTTGACTCTTTTGAACACATTGTCTAATGCTCGAAGTCCTGTTTTAGTTTTTGTTGCTGCACACACAAGAAACCTTCTACAACACACATTCAAACTTATCACAGTTGTAACTTAAGCTCGATTCAAAATCACAATTACAAATGACTCTTTATATGGGTTTGTATTCTATTTAAATTGTTCTCTCTACAATATTGAAATTGAGGGTATTCCCTTAAGGATTTATCACAATTTAAGTAAAAGTTGAATGAAGAAAAAAAAATACATTACTGCCTGACTCTAAACATATTTGACCTTTGATTTTACAGGACAAACACAGAGATTGCTGTATTAATTTAATTGAGACTTAGAAGAATGCTGACTTGTGTCTGATTTCCAATCCAAACCCACAATGTGGATTCAGTAAAGAGCAGAGGTCTTCATGAGCAAATCAAGAACATGGAGAGGTAGTCCTCCTAAGCACATAAGGTAATTGTGGGCTGTGATGTTGCCGAACCTGTAACTGGTTAGCAGCTTATCTAAATACTAATGAACTAAATCATCACTCATTCCTTACTTTTTCTGTTTTTGCACCCCCTTTTATCCAAACGTTCAAGTGCTGCAGTTAATCTAACATTTTACATGTTCTTCTTTGCATGCTACATTTTCCTGTTATTAATGGATTCATGGAAACTATTTGTTGTTAATGTTATTGCTGAGCTTGCTAGTTGTAAACTTGATTTGACACCCCCGCTAAACTGAGCCTGAGTATCTTTACTTCCCAAAGTTAAGTGATGTTTATGATTAACATTGTTTATCACTTACATCTGCCTGCTCCTGCACCTGTACTGTCTTACAAAAGGACCTTTGTAGGATACACTTCTGCAATGCAAACCTGCTGCCTATCATTTAGGCTGCTTTAATACTACAGCAGCCATGCTTGACCACTGGCAGCCTTGACAGATGCATTAAGCCACATTTCCCATTTTGAGAAATGGTATGCTGTACTATGCAACCTGCACATAGTTACAAATGTATGATGACTCTTCGGATGATTATCTCTTCGATGTAACATACCTCATTGACTTTCATCTTAAAGTAGGAAACGTTTCTGGCACAATATAACATTTAAAGTATGCTCCAATGCAGTTTCCTCATCAGTGTATTGAATTAAAAAAGTAAAATAATGCTCTAAATAGGCTAAAGGCAACACTGTATCGAGCCATACATGAAAATCAAGTCTTACCTCTTCTCAGATCTCTGGGAGCGTGGTGTCGAGGTCAGTAGAGAGTGCGGTCAGCAACAGTTGATCCGGCTTTTTATACGTGCATTCTCCCTCTGAGCATAATTTGGGATTAACTCTCCTATTATTGCGGCCGTTTCTTAATCCAGTTAGGCAATCAGCGGATGGCTTTTTTTGGATCACAAAGGGGTAATTAACACCCAGTGGCTAATTCACACATGGCTTTGGTAGTAGTAGGCGGATAATCCCATCTGCACACACACAAATGAAGCAATCAAAGTAGTCCTTTTTAATTAGGGTTAACTTCTCTGAAAGGGATGTTTTTGTCAAAAGGCCTGGATGTGTCATGACATTAGGGGTTTCTGCTAGAAAGGGTCACTTGTTCTGGATAATACCAAAGACCTGCTATTCGCCATCAGTGAACTGTATTGAATTAGAGAAACAAATGGGGAAAATTAACATTAAAAGTTGTGAAATATTTTTTTTTCTTTTCTGAGTATTTGGGAGATCTTCAGCACTGAAATCTGTCTGACCTCAGCAGATTAAAGGTTACACGTCCCGCGGATGATGACAGCGTGGACTTCAAAGTCAGAGTAAGCTGTCTTATTCAACGTGTCCAAGGAACGTGCCAAAGTATCTCAAGATAACCTTGTTGACTCTTGGCATTTCATGGACAGGTCCATTATAACAAGATAATGCTGACAGTTCAAATGTTAATTTGAAATCCCAGTCAAAATACTGTATCAAAGTTTGCTGTTTTCGAATTGGTACATTTACACAATCGATTAAATTGTGTCTTGTAAAGTGCTGAAATAATCTTATTGAGAATATTTAAGGGGATTTGTAAGATTGTAATGGTTCAGATAGTTGTTTATTTGTATATCAGTGACTGATGCTGAGACACTGGTATTTTGGGGTAATTCAGCTTCCCTGATTGAATACTTGTTTGAGTTGAAGTTTAAAATAATTGCTTTTTAACACTGCACCAAAAAAACGTTCTTTCTTTACATTTAATATACCACATGGATGACTGTGTGGTAAAACATAACTATTTGGAGTCTCAGCGAGGACCACTAGACACGATTTTGTTGAAGATAATTTGATATAATGATAGTAAATGGTTAATGGAAGACAATGAGAAAAAAGGTTTTAGATGGAATCCAGCCAGCATGGTGAGCTCCAGGTCAAGTGGACTACCCACAAAGCAAGGGTCACCGTTTTGTAATATAGCCTTGGCTACACTGGGAAGTAAGTTCACATCAACACAGAGGCATTGAAGGTGAAGTGTTATGTGAAAGCTTGATCAGCTTATTAATTACTTACTTAAACAGATGGGAAAATAAAGCTTCAAGCTGGAGAGGTTATTTAAAGAGGCATTTTTCCACGTTGTTAAACTTTACTAAGAAAAGTCATTTGTAACCACACCTATTCTGGTTTGGGTATCCTTACCAGTAATGGATTTCATGAAATGGGATTATGTAATCAGGATACAGAAAAAAAGGTAACTGTATTCCCTTACAGTTACAGAAAAAAAAAGTGCTACATTACTGTTACATTTCTAAAAGTTGGGGATTACTAACAGGATTACAATGTTACAAAAAACACTAAAAAGAGCATGTTGAGCTTGTTGTGAAAGCTTGTAAAAATTGTTCTTTGTAAACTGTAGGCTAATACTTTATGTGTGAATCTATACGCCTACTGCCTGAATTTGCTTTATGGTATTCATTCTTTTTTCATTCAGTGGGTGAACCTATTAGTTCATACAATAGTGTGTGTGAGCTCAACTCTGTGCATTAAACTAAAACGGAGCATTTTCTGTCAGCTCAGGTTTTATTTCTGCTTTTTTAACTGTAGTATGTGCTCATCATGTGTTGTTCTCTTAATTGTTGGTGAATAGGCTACTGCCTGAATATGCTAAATGGAAGGCAGGTTTTCCTATAAATAAAATATCTGAGCAAAGGACACTTTAAAAAAAAAAAAAGTCTCACATAATAATTATTTGCATTGCTTTTGATGTTGGGGTAATCCAAAAATCTGGTTACTTTTTTATATTTTGATACTCAGACCTACAGTCAGTAGGTTACTGATTACATTTTGTTTTGTACGGGTAACTAGTAATTATAACGGCATACATTTAACCTTCCCAACCCTGATCCTCACTAATCTTTGTTTAGTCTGCAGTGCAATTTGTTCCTGGAAATAAACTGGCTTTCTTGGCTCTGAGTTCACTGATCGTCAACTTAACAGAAGGTGACAGTGTGATTCCCTCTGAGGAGGATTTCCCTGGTGTAAACACCATGCCATGACGAACGATCACAGACAACAGAGGGAGGGAGTGGAAAGAATAGTGGAAAACATTCATTAATCCAAATTAGTTTGATTTGACTGCCGCTGATATTAGGGGAGATAAGGTGACAGGAATACAGAGGTGGGTCCAAGACAGATACTAACAGAGAGAACATTTTTTATTTATCCAAATACCCTAATTGCAGGTTGAAAAAAAGAAAGTCTCAGTCTACTTACTTGTATGTAATGCACTTTTTCTAGGTCACCTAATATGCAAAATCCACTTTTTCATGTCTTTTATACATAAACATGTGTCCCCTCTGTGTTAAAGGTAGGGTAGGTAAGTTTGAGAAACCGGCTCGAGATACACTTTTTGTTATATTCCATGGAATGCTCTTAACATCCCGATAGCAATGAATATCTTAAGTGCTTTGACAAAAAATCCATAAAAAAATGTCATCTGTGGAAGAAGTAGTACTGTAAAAAGTACGACCAATCATTTTAGCTGTCAGCCTTCCATCTGTGCACAAACTTATCTCGTGCCCTCATTGGTCATGTGCGCGTTCGTGTGTGTTGGAGGAGGGGCTCTATAAGGAAGTGGCAGATTTTCTCCGGTTGTGTATTTTCAAATTCTAGCGATCTCGAGCCGGTTTCTCAAACGTACCTACCCTACCTTTAAGAGATTCTGAATGTTTCAGGAAAAAAGATTCGCTCACTTTTTGTCCTGATCCATTTAAAACATGTCTGAAAATTAGCTATTCAGATTTTGTCCACTTTATGATGTCATCATTTTATTTTGGCTTGTGTAACCATTAGCTAATAACCAACCAAGGAACCCCCCCCCCCACCTTATCACCTGAATCTCCTCCTAGAGCACCATTTTGTTCTTTTTAACCAAATATCTCGCAGAGGGGCGTGGGGAATGGCTCCTTATTTTCATCTAAAGTAAAAGACAGAGAATCAGCACTTTTGAAACAGGGCTGAAAGTTTGAAACAGAGGGGATTATGAGATGCTACAATGATCTGTTTGGTATTTCAGCCAAACACTTCAGAGACATGTTTTGTATATATCTGAGACCTATACTATATTGATGAAAAACAGTATAATAGGGGACCTTTAATATCTTATGCTACTGAAATAACCAACACATAAGTACTGTGGTTAAATTAAAAACAAGGGTAAACAGGTTGAGTAATATTTATTTAATGTCCATTTTATGTGTGTCATATTTGTTTCTTCATCTGAATAACACTTAACTAATGCTCTCTCCTTTTTTAATCATGAACCCTTTTTGATGAGAATAGATAAAAGACAGAAATATATTTTGTGTGAAACAAATATCATGTTAGCATCCAGTCAGGAAAGCCCAATATGGCACTGTTCCCGTAGATTAAGAGGTTTTGTTAAGGGCCAGCTGATCGACGTGGCTGAGCCTTTTGTAGACCAGACACACAAACACATAACAATAAAGAGTATCTAGTGAGACGGAGAGCCAAAGGTCGCAACCAGCATACTCTATTATTTATAGGTAAGGAGATGAAATGGTGCACACCATTTAGATGATGAGGTACATAACATGAAGCTAGCTGAGTATATTATAAGATATGGTACTAGTAATTAATCAGCCCAAACATGATGGGCAGAAGCAATATTAACAGGTCTACAGACAAGCTAACTTCTCTGAATATTATGTGTAGACACAGTGGTGCTTGAACTAAATACTAATATGCTCGACAATGCTAACCCGATGAAGCTCTGTGTACATCATCTTAGAGAAAATAGGTGTGTCTTACTGCACGTTTAGTACTACTACAATTATTAATTGATTTGGAGTCATCAGGTCACATGACATGTAATTTACAAGAATATTCAATTAAAAAAGTGCAGATTTTCTTATTAAAAATATTCATTTTATATAGAAGGTGGACTAAAATCCCCAAAAAGCATGTGTCCTCTTTCCAGTTACGTAATACAAGGCTGCATTGATTTGCATTTTTTGGGCCACATAACATGGACGCTTTTGAAAATAAAAATACTTTTCGATAAAGAATTATTTAAAAAAATATATTAAAAAAAATATATTTAAAAAAAGGCAAAAAACACTTACATTCTATACAAAGAAGTGTGTACTACTCTCTAGTGTAGGATTTGAAATATGCATTGGTTTGGAGCTGTACAGTGCTATGATGTGGATTTTTTTGTTAGGCGAATTTACAAGTTAATAAAACTATGCGTGCTGCTTTTGTTAAAAATGTAATCCAGAGGTGGTTAACTCTCTCATGAGTTTCGACCGCCATCTAGCGGTTCGTTTGGAAATGTCCGATATCCTACTCTTTATTATTTCCTTCCAATGCTGTATCATGACTGTTTCTCTGTTTAGTAAAAATAAAACTGAAAAAGACACACAAGTAGCCATATCTTCAGGTTAAGAAACATGAAGTTCAATCAATAATCACCTTTTACAGCTGCTTGTTACCTAATATACCACTAAATAATACGCGTATAATAGTCTAATTAAATCATCCTTCAGTATTGAGCTTTCACTACAAATAAGAGGGACGTGTGAACCGCAGCTGAGGAGCGGGAAACTTATTTTGGCTTTGACGTCAGGTAGGTGAAACACACCCCATCATCCGGAGCTGAAGTGCATCTGCTGCAGACACCGCAGTGTGTGTTACCGTGCCATCGCTGCAGCTGCTCGCTCCCGACACCTACCACGTCCCGCTGCAGACTTCCCGGGCCGGGAGAGAACCGGGAGAGGACCGGGAAGAGCGGAGAGCCATGGCCGAGTCCAACCCGACGTGGGGCTTCCCCCGTCTGCGCCGGGCCGCGGTAAGCTGTGCCGGGAGGAGGGAGGCTTCAACCGGGGCGGAGAGGATACTGCAGCATGGAGAGAGGGGGGGGGCTGTTCTTAGGACAGTTTAGTACTGCGACACAGAGGTTGGGATGTGCTCGTGCAAACTGCATTAGATATTTAAAAATGCATTAAAGTGAAGACACTGCTCTTATTCAGATGGCTGGTCAATGTTAAGAGTCTGTGCAGGGCAGCAGGACAGGCCAATGACAAACGTGTGTGTGTGTGTGTGTGTGTGTGTGTGTGTGTGTGTGTGTGTGTGTTTGTGTGTGTGTGTGTGTGTGTGTGTGTGTGTGTGTGTGTGTGTCTAAACTGCAGGTGTAGAACAGCAAGAGTCTTTAGTACCTTTACTGCAGTCTAACTGTGTAGTGCTTTCAACATATGCAGCTTTATATAACATATTTGGGACCGGCCTATGTGTGAAATACTTGATGCCCACACTGTAAATGTAGTTGTGGAATGCAGATGTCCTAACAAGTCTGCGATCATCCAATAACATTCATCATGGCTGCTATTTGAGTGCATATCCAGGTTTATACAGACACCTGGATGACTGTTCACTTGCTAGTGCAGGTTGTGTAAAGGACTACTGTAGGGATGTGAGTGGGAGGGAAAGCAGTTTGTATTTAGTCTGAGGTCAGCAGTTTCTGGTTTAAAGGTCTCCTTACGATGATTACAACACACCTGAATACAGAAAGCTGTTTCCTGTGCCACTGCCATCTGTGTTTAAAATAAGATCTAGCATTGTTTGTTAGTGGATAAAAACTCACAAGCCTTAGAGGTGAGAGAAAAATATCTCAGGACAGAGCCTCTTGTTTGTTTTTTATCAGATGACGCTGTATGCATTAAAGCTGTGAAAATATGAAAAGCAACACCTTTAACACATACAGAGCTGTATTTGAAATGCAAAAGTCTTCCTCGAGGTTAATACTTTCTCAGGCTCTTAGATATGTGCAAAAACTGTGGAGACAAATGTAAGGTGAGCAGGTTTTGTTGGAGAAGAGGAGAGGATGATATGTGTAAAAGATGGCAAGCATGTGAGAAAAAAGTTATCACAATGGGAAGATTGCAGGATTAGTTCTCTGCTCAATGGTTAGCAGTCTTGTGTTATTCAACTGGAAGCCAAAGAAATCTCGAATTACTTTGAATCCCTCGGCTACTGTGCTTAATACAGATGAGAAAAGCAAATGCAAAAGTGTATTTCAGCTACTTTTGCTGCATTTCCAATTAGGAAGTTATCTGCTACAAGAAAATAAGCACAGAGACATGAAGAGAGAGAAAAGTGAACAGAAACAGATATAAAAAAATACTAAACTAAATGTATTTTGACCCATTCAAGCAGGAAAAGACCATGTGACATCCTGAAAGAAAGTTTAGGTAATTGAGTTTTAACATTAAAGCTCCATGTTTGTACAGAGAAGGAAAGGTGTGAGCATGCAAAGCAGTTTATAATGAGAAAGAGTGAGGAAACAGCCATCAATCTGAAGAGCTGACTGTCAGACCTGCTGAAGTGCTGTAGAGGCCGACAGACTCCCCAGACTGACACAGAGAGATGCTGATGCTGTGTTGAGCTTTGCTAGACTGCACGACTAACACCATCCAGCTGTCAAAGCTTCTGACTGACTCCTCTCTTCCTGTACTCTTGTGCACTAATCCAGGGATAGGCTGGAGTTGAAATACACCAAAGCCAGTTTACCACATTGTTAGCATGACAGAAATAATTTCCCTTTCCTTCTATTTTGCTCCCTTGTCTAGTAAGTGTGTATAAGAATATAATAATATCACCATATCTTCCTCTTTTAGACCTCATTTCCAGGAAATCTGCATCTGGTCTTGGTGCTCGGCCCCAGCGGTTTGTTAAGCTCCGCCCCCAGTCCGTCTTCAAGCACTGACCTCGGCTTCCGCTTCAGCCAGGATGACTTCCTGTTAAAGATGCCGGTGAGAGGGGAGTTAGAAACTGAGAAAAATAGTGGTGGGGACACATTTTTATTTTACGTTTTTACATGTACTTTCCATATCTGGTGCAGCACGATGGTATCTGCTCCATACTACACACACACTCTTTCTGTCCATTTGGATATATTTTCTCTTCTATTTGCTTACTACATGCAAAACGCTGTTATTTAATTGGATGCTTTGTGTTTTTGTGTGTTTAGGTGGTGATGTTACGTTCTGTTGGTGACCTGCTGCGCTACATCGATGAACACCACCTGACATCAGACTTCACTGCAAAAGTGGAGTACTGCCAAAGTGACTGGGTCCTCCTCCGTCAGGTACACACTTCTGATGCTCGTCTATCCACCAGAGCTTGGCATGCTGCTTTTGAATATTAAGAATGTCAAGCGATTTCATAGCTATGTTTGCACACTTTTGAATCATTAAAGGGCCCCTATTAGGCTTTTGGGGGCATTCCCTTTCCAGTAGTGTGTTAAATAGTTTTTGTTGCATGTAAATGGTCTGCAATTGGACTCCTTTGTTTACTCCAGTAACATCATGACATCACTACAGTATGTAACACTCACGCTAGCGCTCCAACATATTGTGCGTGATAGGATCGGGACAACCAATAGGACCAACAGAGCCGGCCAGCTAACCAATCAGAGCAGACTAGGTACTTGTTAAAGCAGAGGGTGAAAGGCATGTAAACATGTCATAGTTGAGGCACAAAATACAAATATTAACCTGAAAATTAGCATAATAGAGCCCCTTTGAACAACACAACAAATCAGCATTCTTATCATATTTTTGTTATGTTTTATGTGTGAAAATGTGTGTGTCTTCAGGCCATTGAGACCTTTGCAGTGACAGTGAAGAAGATCGCCCAGCATCTTCAGGGTTTTGGCGCAGAGCTTTCTGAAACCGACCTTCCAGATGAAGCTAATGCCATCGAGTTCCTGCTGCACTCACACACACACCGATACCGGCAGATGAAGGTTTGCTCCTCTCTTTGTGTCTAGCAGTTTTTGTATTTGATTTCTCCATCTGTTTTTTAAATGTATTATCTTTGTCTTTTTCCGGGTTTGTCATATTCAGGACGATATCCGGAGCGTGCTGAAAGAAGGACGGCTGCTGCTGTCAAACCTGGAGACGGTCAAAGCCTCAAAGAGAGATGTAGAGGCGGAGAGGGACTTAAAATCAGACATGGACACTGTTCAAAGGTGCGGCATGCAGACCTCTGCTGTAGAGAACTTACTTGGACATAAAAACAAGTTGGTAAATAGAAGACGTACTGGGAGAAGGATGAAAAGATGAGAGGGTTTTATGAGGCATATTCTCAGCTTGATATCAACATCTTATTAAACCTTTGAGGCAGCTTGTGTGAATGTGTGTGTTGTGTGTGTTTAAGGCTCCTGGCTCAGCTCAGAGACATGGAGGAGGCGTTTGATGGCTTCTTTGAGAAACACCACCTGAAGCTGCTGCAGTACCTCCAGCTGCTGCACTATGAAATGAGGTTCCAGCAGGTGTGATGATTGGTGTCTGTCACATTAGCTCTGAGTCTCCTGTATGTTACATGGTGTGATGATTAATTGTGTGTGTGTTTGTGTGTAGATGGAGGAGGTGCTGGAGAGGATCACTGCCAAAGAGGCGGACATTGACTCTGTGGGAACAACTGTGGTTCAGACAGAGCAGCTGCTGATGGACCTGGAGATACTGGACGCAAACGCTCAGGTCACAAACAAAGTCACACAACATGCACACAGTTAGAGTTTTTGGTGACAAGCAGAAGAAAATGAAGCTGGTCTGTCTGCAGAAAAGCTCCCCCTACAGAGTTTGTCTTATTACAGATATTTTACTTTTTAAAGCCTCAGCCTTACATTTTGGCCATGCTGTTGTTTTTGACAAGTGACACCTGAGGGTGGAAGAAACTACATCTACTAATATCATATAACTAACCTTTATGAACTGTAAATACATTGTAAAAAAGGTTAAAGTTTTGTAAAAAAAACACAGAAAGCACCAAAAACTGGACAATACCATGGTGGTGACATACCCATTCCTAGGTATCCCTTCTCTAAAGCATACACTGTTTTAATTGCATTTTTTTAGTCTAAATGGGACTATAATGTAAAAAAGGAACATCATGCTGTATTGAAGAAGATTAAACTAGCGATGCAATCAATAATCCATAAGGTAAAATGTTTGATAAGGTTATAAAATCTATTAGAAGTAAGGTCATTTTCTCATTGACTTCTATACTGTCTGATTTATTTTGCAAGCAGTGGTGTCGCCCCCCTGCTGGCCAATAGAAACAGTGCAGGTTTAAAGAACTTAAAGGTCCCATGACATGGCCATTTCTACTGATCATAATTCCATTGTTGAGGTCTACTAGAATATATTTACATTGTTCAATGTTCCAAAATCACATTGGTTTCTCATACAGCATCTCTGTATAGTATGTGTATTCACTCTCTGTCCTAAACGGCTTGTTGGAGCTCCTGCCCCCCCTCCCTATGAGCCCACTATGCTCTGATTGGACAACTCGCCCACTCTGTTCTGATGAGTCCACCACCGTTACAGCGGAACATCAGTGATTATGTGTTACAATGGCATTAGCAACCAGAAAATGACACCAGTAATGACAAACAGATGAGAATGCTGCGTGGGGTCTGGGTGCCGTGTTGGCGGGATGTTGTGGGGCTCGCTGCTCCGCCCTTTGAGGCTCGAGGAGCGGACAGTGTGAGGTGGATTACTGGTGTCGTTTCCTGGTTGCTGTGTGGGATCTGCGAGACACTGCGGAACTCAGCCTGAGAACACACACACACTCACAGCCTGGCTGTGAGTGTGTGTGTTAGGAGCTCCGCGGATTGGTCCATTTGGACCTGGGTATCGTTACGTCACTATACTCGGGAAGAAAAAAAAAAAAAAAAAAAAATCTCCAACGAGGCGTTCTGGGGCAGCATAGACAGGTATTTTCTGTGTTAGAGTTTTACTTGCTACAGGGTGTACTTTGAGGGTTTGTGACTTTGCAGACCGTTTACATGCAGAAAAAGCTACATAACACACAAGGGGACGGGTAATAACCGGAAAAGCATGACATGGGACCTTTAAATATTGGCTTCACTTTTGTCCCTTGGGTCAAATGGCACACAGTCGTTGAGGCTCGATTTGATATTTGATATATTTGCTATCCACCTTTGTGTTCTCACATAAGGAAACAAAATATGTTTGATGTGTGGGAAGTGTGGAAATGAATTGAGTTTAAACCTTGATGTGTTTGTCTGTGGCTCAGGAGGAGATGGCTCATGCCCAGGTGTTGATCCTGCATGGCCACCAGTTGGCGGCCAACCACCATTACGCCCTGGCGCTCATTGTCCAGCGCTGCAACGAGCTGCGGCATCGCTGTGACCTCATCACTGCTGCCGTACGCATCAAGAGGGCCTCGCTCACCAGAGCACAAGACCTGCTGCTCCGCCTTGAAGGGGTAAAAAGACTGACATGACACACACACTCAAAGACTTACACATATAAACATAGCAGTATGTACTAATTATATATGTTTGATTAACTTTTTTTGGTCTTTGCGTTCTCTACTCCCTCTTTTTTCCATGCAAGTTTAATCATCATTAACCACTATTTGTGTAAGCTATATGTTTGTTTTGATATATAACATTTAAAAAAAATAAAAGGACAAACATTTAAAAAGGACAATTTCCACATGTGAGTCTCCTTTTTGTTATTCGTTGTAAATAACATATATAATGTGTTTGCAAAATGTGTATCTTGTGTTGTGTCCTACGTTAGTAATGGTCTGTAGTTTAATCATTAACCACTATTTGTGTAAGCTATACGTTTGTTTTGATATATAACCTTGACAAAAGTAGAAGGGCAAACATTAAAAAAGGACAATTTCCACATGTGAGTCTCCTTTTTGTTCTTTGTTGCTATCACATAAATAACATGTATAATGTGTTTGCAAAATGTGTATCTTGTGTTGTGTCCTATGTTTGTGTGTTTGTGTGCAGGCCCTTCGGTGGTGTGACGAGGGTGCCTATCTTCTGGCGAGTCAGATGGTGGACAGGTTCCAAACCCGGGAGGGAGCTCAGGAGGCGCTGCAGTACCTCACCTATCACCAGGAGAGGGCGCCGTCTGCATTGAAGAACAGTCAGGACATCGTCAGCCTGGAGCTGGAAGCCATACTCACCCCACAGCTGCAGGTAACCCTCTGCCATACTGATATACAAATGCACAAACGCAACATTATCCACAACTCCCCTCAAACCATACTGAGGAACAGCTTCTATCCGAGAGCTGGGGCCTCCATCACTCCGATCCCTGTCCAACCTCAGAGCACATTACAACAACTGTGAACACACACACACACACACAGTGGCGGCTCCAGAGTATTTTTGTTGGGTAATCTATGGTAGGGCTAACCCATACAGTGGTGGGGCTCAAGTCAGTATTTGCAATGTAATTACATACACGCTATATCGCCCCCCTTGACAGTGAAACGCCACGCGTGAGGTTTAGATTATTTCCCTGTCTCAATCCAAATTGAACTTTATGAAATAAAAAGGCACATTTGTCTTGTAGTAAATAAAAAGGGCGACCTGGAGCCAATCCTGCAATTTCCCCACAGGTGAAAGAGTTGACGTGCTGAAAACCCAACCCCTGGGGTCTGGGGGGATTCTTCCCTGGGAGTTTTTTTGAAATACTAATATAAAATACACATTCTGGTACTCTCTTGAGAAGAAAAATAAATCAATCTATTACTACACGACATATTTAAAAAGAAATGAATGCCTTTTTTGTTTTTTGTTACTTTGTTCTGAAAGCTGAACCTGCTGCTCCTCACAGAGAGAAGAGGGAAGAGGCTGTGTGAATTACTTTACATTGTGGATAAGGGTCGATAGCCCCCATTGTTCTGTGTGTCAAAATGAAAGACAGCCCACACACCTATCAATCATCAAACCGTGGGGTCTGATTTGATAGAAATCAACACGTAATGTTGTATCCATGGATGTATAAAGAGAAGTTCTACCGCAAAAACACCACGCCGTTATCGTGATTCTGATTGGCCAGAAGACATTATCAAAGATGTTTTATTGAGAAGACGATCACTACGTGACAAAAGTTTTCAAAACCGTTTCTAGTCTTCGGTATTTCCAGACAAGTGGCTACTGAAATCAATCTCACTAGCTGCTGTCTGTGCAATTTACTCCGCGCGAGTTGGCGGACATTTTTTTGCTTACTTCAACATCAATTTTCATGGTGGGGCTAAGGTGGGGCTAAGCCATTTCTTGGTATGGCTGTAGCCTACCCCAGCTATACCCTGGAGCCGCCACTGCGCACACACACACACACACACACACACACACACACACACACACACACACACACACACACACACACACACACACACACACACACACACACACACACACACACACACACACACACACACACACACACACACACGCTTTAGACTGGAAGTGTAAATATGCACATTGACATTGAATTTTATCTCGTTGCACTGTCATCGCTACTACCTCTGCTTTTACCACTCTTATTTATTTATTGTGTCTATTTTTTACTGCAGTGAGAGTTGTCAAAGAAATGTAGTTGTACTTTGTATAATGACAATAAAGATATATTCTATTGTATTCTATACCTCTTTCTTTCTAGTCCCAAATTTCCATGGTGGCAGAGAAACTGAACTCGATGCAGTCCATGATCAGAAACAGAGAGCAGTGTCTGAAGAAGCTGGCCGATGTACAAATCAGACCCATTCAGCTGGTGGCCCCGAGGCCCGAACCCGAACAGACCTTGCAGCGCTGCAAGTCACCCCTCTTCTCCCCAAAACATGGTATAATCCCCATCCAAAGGTCCTTCATGTCTTCCCATAGCTGTTGTTTCTGTGGTGTGGATTTGTTTTCAAGGTTCAGATTCTGTCCACTGTGTCAATACAGCAACACTGCTATTGTTTTCACCTTTGAGTCTGTGTGTTTGTCATCATGACCCACATTTACTCTCAGAAACTACCACAGAGGATGTATTATGTCATTTGCAAGGTGTCATATTTCTGTCTATCCGACAGATGTTGTAACCACGATACAGTGCAACAGTACATGATGCTGCTGACTCTCATTACCAGTTGTATTTGTTTGTTTCCACAGGTGTAGACTTTAACGTCCTCAACTCCAAGTTCTCCTTTGACCTGCTACCTGGCAAACGAGCGGCAAGAAAGAACAACAACCAACGCAAGGTGTGTGTTTTTAAACCTAATGTAAGATGGATTGGCGTGAAATTTGTGCAGACATTCCTCCTTGAGATTAATTGTTATAATTTCCCTTTTCTATGTAGTGCCATCATAGGGTCAATATTTCAATTTGTCCAATGACATGGTACTCTGGTTAATCATCAAATACCTGCAAAACTAATGAATCTTCCTCCTGGGTTTAGTGACAGGGCTTTTACAAATGTGTCGAAGACTCCAACTGAGTGTCTTGTCTGTGTTTTCAGATCGAGGTAATGCATGATTTTCAAGGCAACCGCAGCTGTTTGTATGGCTCCACAACAGAAACAGATTCAGAGGCAGAAGACAATCCAGAGCAGGTCACACGGTACGCAATCTGACACATTATTGTTCTTAAAGTCGAGACTCTAATGTGGCACTGTCTGTATACTATATGGGCTGCAAAATGCATTTGCTGAAGGGGGCATCATTTCAAGGCACGCATCATGTGATACTGTTTCAAAATTAGAGAATACATTTTTTTAAATCAGTGCACTCCCATAGCAAAATCAGAGCGCTAAATACATATTGAACTATCAAAACAACAGCTGTAAAGACAGTTGTTTAGTATTGTGTTAGAAAAACTGTAAACAAAAAAAACCTGTCTGAGGCGTAGGAGAAACAGTATAAAAGATCTGTCTGCAGCGCCAGACTCCAAAAGTTATGTGGGCAGCGTCCCAACTGGCACCGCTTCTGTGGTCTATACTGTATTAATCTGCAGACAGATGAACGTAAAAGCCTTTTCGTGCCAACTCCACAGCATTAAGTATTTTCTTTAGCTTTGCATTTATGTTTTTTTCTAATTCCTCTCTTTTGAACTGTTTCTAGCCATGTAATGAAGGAGCTGATCGCTACAGAGAGGATCTATGTGGACGAGCTGCTCTCTGTCCTTCTGGTGAGTTTATTTCAGATTACTCTTATGGTATTTTGAATTTCCCCTTTTCCTGTCAAGTTTTCCCTCTCCTCTCCTCTCCTCTCCTCTCCTCTCCTCTCCTCTCCTCTCCTCTCCTCTCCTCAGGGCTACAGAGCAGAAATGGAGGACCCATCCATGTCTAATCTTCTTCCTTCAGCTCTGCGCAGCCAGAAGGACGTTCTGTTCGGCAACATGCCAGAGATTTACCAGTTCCACAGCAGGCATGACACAGACACACACAAACTCACAAACACACACATGTACACAAACTCACACACAAGCTGTCACAGACTTGTCCTTTCAGTGTTTTCATGAGAATCCAATTTCCTTCCCTTTTCCTCTCCGTTTAGGATCTTCCTCCAGGATCTGCAGAGTTGCCTGGAGACACCAGAGAGGGTGGGGTCTTGCTTCCTGCAACGGGTGAGGACAAATTAGGATCAACAGAGGAACTTCATGTGAAGTGATACGCCATACCACATCTAATCGTAAATTATGTGTGTGTGAGCAGAAAAAGAAGTTCCAGGTGTACCAGCGTTACTGCCAAAACAAGCCACGCTCCGAGTTGCTATGGAGACGGTGCTCTGATTCAACCTTCTTCAAGGTACTTACACACCATATATATTATTTATAATCAATTATCCGGTGATTCTCTCATATTGACTGTATGCAAGTCAACCTGTTACGATTTTTAGAATACAATGATGTTTTCCTATTACGCCGTGTACACATCTCTATCTCCCTCCCCCATCCCTCTTCTCCCTCTTTCTCTGCAGGAGTGCCAGAAGAAGCTAGACCACAAGCTGGGTCTGGACTCTTACCTCCTGAAACCAGTCCAGCGCCTCGCCAAGTACCAGCTGCTACTCAAGGTTCTGTTCAGCTGAGTCAGTCAGTGATGGAGAGACACACCATGCATGTTTCAGAGATTTGGTTTTCCCAAACAATGAAGGTTTTTCTGCCTTGTTGAAAAATAGTATCTCTTAAAACGCAGCTAAGATGTTTTGCACTGCCCTACATCTTTGCTGCTAGGGTTAATTTGCTTGTTATAAATATGGTTTATTTCTTTATTCAAGGTTTACAAAGATGTTTCATTTGGCATGTGGTCCAAATTATTTCATTCACATGATACGTTGACTATTATGCTTGCTAAAAGCTAACATGTTTACAACCTTTGTTTGACCTTTGACCTGATAATGGCACTAGAGGAAAAGTAAAGGAATCAATCAAAGTTATTACATTGAATGTTAAGGAGGACATGAATGAGTGAACTGAATGTCATGGCAGTCCATCCAACGGTCATGGAGATTTTTCACTCTGGATCAAATAGGTGGACTGACCATCCATAAATTCATGTAATCATGTGGTCAGGTCTGTCTGCACTGTTATAGGTTTTCACAAGACAAAACACAAAGCTGCATTTAGATTGATTAAGGACAAATGGAAGATGGCACAAGAGGCAATCAGTCAAGACAGTTATAACAACACTTGTGAAGATACAAGTAGAGGTCTTAAACAGGCACAGAGGAAATGTCAACATAGACAGATTAGATCAAGTATATACACTGACTTGTCATCCTGTGTCTCTGTGGTGTTTCAGGAGCTGCTGAAGCACTGCACGGAGGATCTGTACCGCTGTGAGCTGCAGGAGGCTCTGGACTCCATGCTGGAGCTGCTGAAGTCTGTCAACGACTCCATGCATCAGATCGCCATCACTGGATATCAGGTACCAACCACTCAAATCAATAGATCAGATGGAGTGGATGTTTATGTCAGCGGATGCAAGATTTATGACACACCATTATGCTTCAATATAAAACGGTTCAATCCTCATTTAATATCTATAACCATATTTCTCATTGACTTCTGTTTTCTACTACCTCAGGCATAAATTACACTCAAAACGTTCTTGAAAAAATCTAATTAAATGGCTTTAATTTATTATCTATGCTCCATTGTTGCTTTATATGATTGATATGAGTTTGTACAAGAGTTTTGCATACCTGCACCTAAGAAAGTATGGCATGAATTGCATTGAATCATGTTGATTAATAGCCTATAGTCCTAGTGTTTCCCATACATTGATTCATTTGTGGCGGGCCGCCACAAATGAATATCGTCCGCCACAAATAGATCTAAAAAAATAAAAATAGAATCAAATTCTGTGGGAAACACTGAGTCCATGTCCATTAAAGGTCACCTAATATGCAAAATCCACTATTTCATGTCTTTTATAAATAACCATGTGTCCCCTCTGTGTAAAGACATTCTGAAAGTTTCAGGAACAAAGATTTGCTCGCTTTTTGTCCTGATCCATTTATATAAAAACCTGTCTGAAAATGAGCTGATCAGATTTTGGCCACTTTATGATGTCATAACGATTTTTTGGCTGTGTAACCATTAGCCAATAACCAACGAAGGTAACCCCCTCCCCACCTTATCACCTGAATCTCCTCCGAGAGCACCATTGTGTTCTTTTTAACCAAATATCTCTCAGAGGGGCGTGGGGAGTGGCTCCTTATTTTCATCTAAAGTAACTATTATGGGATGCTGCAATGATCTGTTTGGTATTTGAAGCCATGTTTTGTATATATCTGAGACCTATAATAAAGTAATGTAAAAGAGTATAATAGGGGACCTTTAATTTGACTGTACAGTAGTTACCTCTCTGTCCCCTGTCTGCCTGTCCCCTGTCTGCCTGTCCCCTGTCTGTCTGTCCCCTGTCTGTGTGTCTCAGGCCGACCTCAGCCAGCTGGGCCGGGTGGTGCTACAGGGGGGCTTCAGCGTGTGGATCAGCCATAAGAGGGCGGCGGTGCGCATGAAGGAGCTGGCCCGGTTCAAACCCATGCAGAGACACCTCTTCCTGTACGAGCTCGCCCTGCTCTTCTGCAAGCGCCGAGACGAGGACAATCACGACAGGACGCCCTACTACAGCTTCAAGTCCTGCCTCAGAGTAAGAACATATCATATGTAGGGATGGGTACCGAGCCCCGGTATTAAACGGGCCCCGGGGCTGAATTATTAAAGACCGTGGTACCGTTAAGCTGCAAAGTTATCGGTCTTTTTATCGGTACTGGAGACATCTAAAATATATGTCATATGTATTATGCTACACAAACATTATATTGCAGTTTTAGTGTCGCCAACTCCGTTTCTAATATGCAAAAAGACTGCAAAATGCGTCTATGATTATTTGTAGTATTTCCGATCTTGCCAATCCAGACGAGAGATCTCTCTCTCCCCCGTCTGTGTGCGAGGGGGCGGGGCAGTTTACACACACGCGACTGCTACATGCAACACACACACACACACACGGAGGAAATGGCGGAGAGAACTCGTTCCAAGGTGCGGTTAAACTTTACCCGTCTTGAGGTGGACAATGCTCGTTGCCAAAAGTGCAATAAGAGTTTAGCATGTAAGGGCGGTAACACGAGCAATTTGTCTAAACATTTAGCAAACGTGCACCACATTCAGACGGAGAAATGCACCGTTTTTGACTGTCTTTCTAGTAGCTCTGTAGCCCCATCCACGAGTAACGTTTCCACGTCAGGTGTTATGTATGCTAGCAGCAACACACGGAGCTAACTCAATGATACAAACATGGGTTAATGATTAGAGGTGACTGAGTTATTTATTTTGTTAAAGTTTCAGCTATTCTGTTTACAATTCTGTCATCACATTATTTAATACGATTTGTTAAAACATTGTTGTTTCTTTTGATGTGAAATATTATTTATTTAATTTAAATAAAAAGTAATGTTAATTTTGTTCACAATTTGTTTAGTTAGTTTACCTTATTTTTTCTCTCCAAAAGAACCGTTAAGAGTACCGTTAAAAGACCGGATCGATAAGCGGTATCGATAAAAGTAGTAGTACCGTTAAAACCTTAACGATACCCATCCCTAATCATATGTGACTTTTTTAGATACATGTGGCGACATCTAATGCATTCCAATTCAGCCTTCCTGGAATAAATTGAAAATGTACGATATCCATTTTTCTGCTGTATTGTATTTTGTATTGCTGTTGGGCGTGGTTGAATTTAATTATGGAAATATCTACTTAGAGCCATTGAAGCTGACAGATAATGGTGAAATGTAAATACTTTTCTCTCTTTCTTCAGATGAGTGCAGTGGGAATCACAGAAAATGTGAAAGGAGATGTGAAGAAATTTGAAATCTGGTACAGCGGCAGAGAAGTGGTGTACATTGTCCAGGTATTTCAATCTCTTACTATCTGATCTCTAACTTATTTGCAGTGTTTTAGTGTCTGTACCTTTAGCCCGTTCAAGCAAACTTCTCATGTTGTGGTCCTGTGTGTGTGTGTGTGTGTGTGTGTGTGTGTGTGTGTGTGTGTGTGTGTGTGTGTGTGTGTGTGTGTGTGTGTGTGTGTGTGTGTGTGTGTGTGTGTGTGTGTGTGTGTGTGTGTGTGTGTGTGTGTGTGTGTGTGTGTGTGTGTGTGTGTGTGTGTGTGTGTGTGTGTGTGTGTGTGTGTGTGTGTGTGTGTCTAGGCTCCCACACTGGAGATCAAAGTTGCCTGGCTGACGGAGATTCGAAAAATTCTCACCAACCAGCAGAAAAATCGCCAAGGTTTCTATTACTGTTATATTTGATTTGCTGCCTCTACGTCTTTCATAAAAAAGCCTGATTTTATTATTATTTAACTTGGATTAATCTCATATTAGTTCATGTTTACAAGTAAAATAGAACAGTACATCTATTTTCCAACATCTCACAAGTTTCCCATAGAAATACCAGATATTTATGTTCTTATTAAGGTCTTGCAATATAATCATGTTTGTTTTTTTGATTATTCAATGTGTCCTTTGTTCCCTTTTCTCAGATGAGGCTCTTACACTTTCAGACAACCCTCTCTCTGACAGGTGATTATCTTGCATAACCTGCCTATCTTCCTCTGTGTCTGTTTTTGACCTTGTGATGCGGTCCAATTACATTCAGATACCAATTTAAACGTAATACACTAAGAAAAGGTTTCTCTCAGCTAGTGTTTATGATGATTCAATAACCCATTTAATTTCACCCGCAAGCCATCCTAACTTTGTTTTTACAACAAAACATTATGGTTATATATGCAGGTTGTTGAGTTAATGAACACGTTTGTATGTGAGCAGTGTGTGTATTTGTGGTTGGGTTAGCATTTTTGTCATTACCCTGGAGAACTGGTAATCATGACTATGATGCCAAGTTCTGCAGATGGCTCTAACCCTGTCTGTGGCGCTCTCCATGCTGATGAATTCCAGCTCCATGGAGAGCGCCATACACAGAACCAAGAGCTTACCTCAACCCTGCATGAGGGCAGTAAATACCTCATTGGGCATCTTAAACAGTCCTTAAATGTTCCAGCAGGTACTCAAATATCATAGGGTTACTTTTTTTAGATGTTAAGGGTATCTATAGAGACAGTGGCCAAAGTGTAGGTCAGTGAACATTTTTGGAACACCATTAGAGGTTCTCGTAGATACTGTAGTTGTTATTCAAATGTTTGTTAGCCATTAAAAGCACTGGTTATCTAGGATACTGTCAACACTGTAACTTAACAGGGGGTGAGTGTGTGTGTTAGTGGGGTTTTTGTAGGAGGTACCAATGTTGGGTTTACTGATAGCATGAGAGCATGTTATACTTTCAATGAATGGTTGAGTCCCGAACTTCACAATGAACAACTAGTTTGCTCATTAAGGAGAATTATTAACATTTGCACAAAGTTTATTGTGATTCAAATATTTTAAGACCATGGTATAATTGTAATACTTAAAGGATAAAGCTGGCAATTCTCTTTGACCAAAGTCTATTCAACAAATTCCATGAAACAACCAAAACCAACAATCAATTGATTGTAACAAGTATTGTTTAGATATCCAAATGCCTATGTATCCATTTTCTCTGAGCCAAAGATCTCCAATATTGTCCAAAAACAATTAAAAACACATCACTGGTTGACTTCATCACTACGAATAATACTATATTTATTATTTAGTACATTTCACATACACTGTCCTGCTGCTGTAAATACTAGCAGAGCATATGTGTATTATTCTGCAGCTGAAAATAGTCCCAAACAAATGAACTGTTTCTGATGTTAAGGTAACCTTCAACCACAACTACAGCGTTCGTTTTTAGAGGAAATTTGATGTAAGTCTCTTACTAATTTTCTTCATTCGGACACGAACACATTGTTGGTTTGGGTCTTTAAATGGGGCTTGTTGACTATATAAAATATTAGCTAGCGTTATCCTTGAAGTAGATGTATTCACAAGGATGCATAGTTTAAATGTCAAAGTATGTGAGCATGGGATAATCATATTCTGAGATGTTTTGTGGTGTTTGTGATTCTTACTATGAGATGGAGGATCATATAATGAGAATGGTTGAATGATTTGTGAAGGTGTAGGTCATGTAGCATCTGCAAGTAATTTAAGTGTTTCTACTTTATTTACCAGATGGGAAGCTTTAACGTACTTATACAAAGTAACTTTTAAATATCTTAATATTTCTTTCATATGTTGGAATATATTGGAAAAAACTCCACTCATCCAAGACTTAAAGCCACACTGTGGGTTATTTGCAGATGCTGGTAAATTAAAGGTGGGGTAGGTAAGTTTGAGAAACCGTCTCGAGATACACTTTTTGTTATATTCCATGGAATGCTCTTAACATCCCGATAGCAATGAATATCTTAAGTGCTTTGACAAAAAATCCATAAAAAAATGTCATCTGTGGAAGAAGTAATACTGTAAAAAGTATGACCAATCATTTTAGCCGGCCCGGCTAAAATAACTGGATGGCCTACCTGCCTGTCAGCCTTCCATCTGTGCACAAACTTATCTCGTGCCCTCATTGGTCATGTGCGCGTTCGTGTGTTGGAGGAGGGGCTCTGTAAGGAAGTGGCAGATTTTTTCCGGCTGTGTATTTTCAAATTCTAGCGATCTCGAGCTGGTTTCTCCAAAATTACCTACCCCACCTTTAAGGCCTTGTGTGTGTTCAGATTATTGTGTACTTTAATATTTCCATATATTGCAGTGATCTCTGATATAATTGATATTTGGATTATAAACTCAAACCTCTTTTGAAATCAGACGCTGAAATATATGTGACTGTGGATTTATAGGAATGCTGTTTTAATTTACAGAATGCGGATGAGCTCGTTTTGTGACACCGTGAATGTTGTTGTTGTTGTTTGTTTTTGTTTGTTGTGGTCGTGTCTTGTTCCCATGGTGATGGGGTTTAGTGCATCAGTGATGTGTGTGTCGTGGGGCGGAGCATCGGTTGGAGGCTGCTCAGCGTGTCTCCCTGTTCCTAACAGCTCCTCGACAACAAGCCACTCCCACAGGACTCGAGGGGAGGAGTCTATTTACACAAGCCCCGCCCACTCCGAGCCAGTGGTTAATTCACCTCGACGCAGTGAGTCGCTGAGACAAAGCAGAACACAAACTAATCACTTCTTATCATATTTGTCTTTACAGTCATTAATTCACACAATTTCTTTTGAAAAATGCAAGAAAACATTTGTCGTAAAGACTCCATTTGATGTCGGTTATTCTTCAGCCAGATCTTAGCTAATGTATCTTAACTTTTCACTTGACCTTGTTCTGGAAGTTGTTCCATTGTTCTGACAGAAAACACACTTAGGAGTTAAATATATGATACATCAAATAATAAAAAAGCTTAAACACAGAATCATGTCAAATGAATCCTTTGATGGCAAGTAATAAAAAAAAAAGCCTATATTGAATTTTTACAGGCAATCGAGTATCTATATTTAGCACTGCAACTGTCCAATGACACCACTATGAAAATGATCTCACTTCGATTGAATGGCTGCACACATGACTTCAAACAAGCCTAATGGTTTATAAATATTTGAGTAGTTTTCATAATCCCCTGTGTTTCTGTATCATTTCCACAGTGGATCATGGAGTATTAGTGATTAAAAAGTGTAATATTACCTTTTGTAGTAGTCTCAGTTTTCTCTCCGCCTGCAGCCTGGCCTGTTCCTGCTCACACCGTGGCGATCTGTGAGGGCCTGGAGGACTGGGGGGCCGCTACAGACCTCTCCAACCTGTCGGACTCAGATGAGGAGGATCAGCCTTCCCCTCTGGTGAGAGTTTACTTCTCATGGCACAAGGGGTACTGTAGAGGTTATGTGTAGGCCTTTATGAAGCCTTGAAGCTGTATCAGCACCGAGACGACAATAGGTGCCATTAAAGAGACGACAATAGGTGTCATTGGTGGCAAACGGAAGTATACCATGTGAGTGCTCTCTTAACTGGATGATGGGAGTCCTCTAGCAAAGGCAACCTTATACAGATGATAAGCTTGGTGGGCAATCACATAGACCAAAACTCAACAGACATAATTCTGGGATGACGGCATTAAAGCTCGTACCTCAAAATATTCCTATTCAAGGGGAGGTAACGATGTGTTTTTTTGTTAGGCTGGTGAATGGAATATTTGGAAAAGTTTACATGTTAAAGTGCCGTAGTTTTTCCCTTTCCGTTTCTTATATAAATGTAAGAAGGCTGCACAGTTTTATGTTTACCAGTTAAGATTGCACCTGAAATGCTTGGAGGTCTGTCAGTTGGAAATTACAACCTGAAATTACAACTTTGTTTGGAACCGAGCATAAATCTAAGGCTTAAGTCGAATAGTCCATTTAGCTTAGGAACCTTCCTAACCGAGTGAAATGACCCGGAAGTCCCTCAGTGGCAGCCATGATAAGTGCCGTTCGAATTCTCTAGATGAAAGGAAAGGAGGTTTCAAACTTCCTTTATAACCTCCTTCCTGGACCTCCCTTTACGAAAGGAGAGGAGAAAATGCTGCCCCACAATGCCTTGCAGCCGCAGCACACAGTCGGCCGTTCACGGAAACATCCGATTATGACCGACAAATGATATCATGAAAGTTACGGTGCTTATTAAGCTTTTTAAAACGTGGTAACTTGCCAAAGTGCTTTGTTTTGAACGTTCATCAGTATTATAATCAAAAAGAGAAATATGGACGTTAGTTTTTACTGAAATGATCAAATAAAGTCAACATTTCACAGTCTTGACAGAGCTGTGTGGGGTTTGTTCAACTTTTAAAAGATGTTTGAATGGTGATATACACAGTGATAGATGTTAAGGACTAACGTTTATAATAAATACATTTGTATTTATTTTAAGATCTTTTCATACAATCATACGTATTGGGATCATTTGTATTAATGTGGACCGGAGGGAGAGGGGGACGAGCATAAGTTTCACTTTCCTTTTTTATTTCAATTCCAACTTTGGTCATGAAGAATATGTTTCTCTGTTGTCCACGTTCATAAAGCATAAAACAACAGCATCAGAGCACGGTGCAGAGTCTCTAGATGAGTTTACAGTCGTCCGTTCTTATTCTACATCCATGTTGTAGTCCGCTGTATAGAAAACTGTAGTTTCCATAGTTTCCCCACAGCAGCAGACGCACATTTATGACCTCCGCTGGCGCATCATAAACACGTCGGATAGTGAAAGTGCAGTCGGATTCTCTAAAGTACCGCAGTCTCTTCTCCTAAATCCTTTTGAATTCTCCTATCGACTATCCCTTAACCCCGTGACGTTTCACTCCGAGGTCAAGGAATAGACGATAGGGTTAGACGTTAGGAGCTGATTTTTGGACTATTCGACTGCAACCTAATACTCAATTGGACAAAAAGTGCCTGTTGATTGGCAATCAACAGTCAATATATCTGTCTTTCCATCAATCTATTAAAGAAGATTTAGGGCTGTTGTGAAGGTAGAAATGTATTGAAATGCAACGTTCTCCTGTCTTTTACTTTTCCTTTTCTTGCCCCAGGTGGTGGGCAGGTACCGGGTCCTGGTAGAGAGCAGCATGGCCAGCACTGATGACATCATCTTCAACTGCGGTGACGTAATCCAGCTGCTGCATGAGGAAATGTCGGGAATGTGGTAAATAAGCTGTTTGTTTCAATAATGTTGATTCAGCCTGGAGTTGAAAGTACTGAACTTATGTTAACATTCCATGCGTCTGTGTTAATGTGTGTGTAATCATAGGATGGTGAGGAATATAAGTCGTAAGGAAGAAGGGCGTGTTTTACCTGAGGACCTGCACAGGATTCTGGGAGAAACCTGCTGAGTGCCAATCAGAATAGAGGATATATGACACACACACAGAATAACAACTTCCTGACCAGAAGGGGGCGTCCGACTCTGCGGAGATCATCAGATCGAAGCACATCATCTGCATTTCACTCTTCAAACTACTGTGACACTTTCACTACAGAAGGGTGTAAACTACAGAAGTGACCTCAGAAGACTGTAACAATGCAAAGCACATACGTGGGACATATATGTATTTATTTTTCTGTTCAAGCTGTAGATCATTTGGATTAAAACTTAGAAATATTCATATGTACAGAATGGACTTATGTTGGAGACTTCAGGTTTTATCATTTCTATTTTCTTATAAAATATGACAGAAATTGTAATGTTCACGTGCCAAATAGCCGAGCTAGTGATTGTGGCTTCTTTTTGTACAACACTGTCAGTTATGGAAAGTAGCTTTACCTTGTGGTGTCAGTTTTCAAAGAAATCTAACTCTGTCTTTCTTTCAAACAGCAGCCGGCTACATCACTAGTGTATGCAGATCATGGTTACTCAACCTCTTAGCGCAGCCATTTAGCATCTGGTTGTTGTTGTTGCGTTCACACATCTGAGGCCAGAGGCCTGTACGACGAAGCCGGTTCAACCTAACCTGGATATGTTTGAGTTACCCGGTTTACCTAATCCAAAACAAACGCGCTCTCGCTAAGCGGTCCTACGACGCTGGTTATCAACTCGTTAACTCAAGCCAGTTTTGCCCTATCTAGTTATGTGCGCGTTCACATAAAAGGGGCGGGGTTAGCAACATTTGACCAATCACAAACATGGACAAGCGTACTGACAGCGCAGTGTCATACTTCCTGAATGAAAAGTGAACTATAATATTAGACAAATATTAAGACGTTAAACTTTAAACATCCATGGCTTAAACACTTTATCCAGGATAAAAGCCACATAGCTGCACCTGCAAGGTGAATACAGCTGGTAAAAGAAAAAGGGTTTGAATGCGTACATTAACAGGTTTATGATATCACTGCCCCGTCTAAGACACGAGTGGATCTGACTTTAATTACATTTGACTCGAGTGTTTCGTGAACTTAATGTGTTAAAATAATACTTCTGCATACAGTATGTGACACTGTGAGTGTTGCACGGCCAGATACGGCTCAAGAAGCTGACTCAGATAAGGAAATATATGATACATTATGATGTGATATGAATGACAATGGGACACATCGACGTCTGCACTCAGTGCCGTGGACTAATGTTACTTTGATCCGGTTACTTATGTTAACTTGTGGCAGATATTTAAGTAAGCTTTCTTAACGCTAATGTTATATTAGTCAGATTGCTCTGATGATAGGAGGTGATATTCTATTAATTTTCACGTTCACACAGTAATTTTTGCCGGCCGTCTTTTCTGCAACAGCAGCTTTTCTGTATTTCCTTTCTCCTGTAATATGACTTGATCGCTTTAAACTCCGCACACGGAGCTCTGATTGGTCAGCAGGCGGTGCTTTCACTGAGTTGATCTCTTATCCTGGAACCTATAACCTGCTCCAGACCAGGCTAGCCGTTCAGCATAAGTTACCATGGAGATCTAGCCCGCTAAGAAGTGAACCAGCGTCGTAGGACCGGAAACCCAGAGTTTTCCCTGAAGTTAGCTCGCTAAGTGAAAATTCGGCTTCGTCGTACAGAGGCCTGTACTGTACGACGTAGCCGGATTTTCGCTAGCAATCTGACTATTATAACATTAGCGTTAAGAAAGCTTACTTAAATATCTGCCACAACAAAAGTAACCGGATCAAAGTAACATTACGTACAGTCCGCGGCACTGTGAGTGCAGATGTCGATGTGTCCCATTATCATTCATATCATATCACATCAGAATGTATCATATATTTCCTTATCTGAGTCAGCTTCTTGAGCCGTATCTGGCCGTGCAACACTCACAGTGTCACATACTGTATGCAGAAGTATTATTTTAAGCAACACATTAAGTTGACGAAACACTCGAGTCAAATGTAATTAAAGTCAGATCCACTCGTGTCTGTTAATGTACGCATTCAAACACTTTGTCTTTTACCAGCTGTATTCACCTTGCAGGTGCAGCTATGTGGCTTTTATCCTGGATAAAGTGTTTAAGTCATGGATGTTTAATGTCTTCATATTTGTCTAATATTATAGTTGACTTTTCATTTAGGAAGTATGACGCACTGCGCTGTCAGTACGCTTGTCCATGTTTGTGATTGGTCGAATGCTCCAAATACCACCCCTTTCATGTGAACGCGCACCTAACTAGATAGGGCAAAGCTGGCTTGAGTTAACGAGTTGATAACCAGCGTCGTAGGACCGCTTAGCGAGAGCGCGTTTGTTTTGGATTAGGTAAACCGGGTAACTCAAACATATCCAGGTTATGTTGAACCAGCTTCGTCGTACAGGCCTCAGAAAACAAAAAACAAAGCAAGAAAACAATATTCAACAATACTCAGTCAAAGTCTCATCATTCATAGCAGCGGTCATGGGTTTGTTTTGCCACTAAGTGGTGTTGGTTAAGGATGTAAATGTGAAAAAGTCATTGAATACTCTTTATAGATATCCATCAACATGTCATAGCAGTAAAAGTGCAGATGTAATTAATAACATTTAATAATGGTTGCATTGTATGCCTTGGTCTGGTGCATGGGGCCTCATTCATGTTTTTAATTCCACTTGTGCTTCTCCTGCTATGACAATACAAGTGAAAATGTCTCCTGAAAAAAGGTCTACTGAAGCCATAACAAAGTATCTTCTGCAGTACTCTGTCAACCCTCAAGAGGAATAATCTGAGTCTGAGGAAAGCACTGCAGTATTTATGTAGGATTGATTTCTGATGATATTTCTGCATCTCTTTGGTGAAATGCGCATCGTCCTTCTCTTCTGTGCAGCTGTCGTGCTCCACTGGGAAGACACGGTGTATGTTCCTGTTTGTTTGCTGCTCTGCATGAACAAATCACTGCAAATGCCTACTGCTTTATTTCTGCCTACGCTGCTATTTCACAACAACAGGGGAACTGTGCTCTGTGTTCGGTTGTAACTAGTTATAATTGCCAGCTGAAGTTTTACGGTTACATTGTGTTGTGATACATGACTGATGTTTCATCTGGGAAGCTGATTTAATAAGACCTTTAAAACTGCCCAGCCAGATTTCCTCTGCAATGCAAAGTGGAAATGAAAACACTGCCACTTTACCGCCATATGTGCTGAGGTTAAATGATGGATACAAGTATTTAGTTACGTAAGCGTTTCTCCTAGTTGTGAATATGTAAATAGTAAAAATCTAAATTTTACATGTTAAACACAGTGTTGGACATTAGGTGTCTTAATGGTGAAACTTTTATTAGACAGTTCTCATCTATCAAGTGACAAAAGGTACATCAGATTAATGCAGTATTTCCTGCATCTCTGGACTAAGAAAATCCCTCAAATAAGATTCTTTTTCACAGTAGTTAACACCCACAAAGTCACTTGATAGTAAGTGCCCAACTGTCTTTTAAGGTGAGACTGATGAAACTCATAGGCTATATGGGTAACATTTCACCGTGTTTAAATGAATTGAAATCCACCTAACAGAGGCTATACTGTAACATCAGACAACATGCTTAATGGTCAGGCTGTAAAATGTATTTGCAAAGTACATGAACTGCTGTTTGCTGCTTTTGCACTTTTTGGATATTTTTGAATCATTGTGAAAGCTTGTATTATAATGCATATGATTATTTTCCCAAATATAAGCACAGGATCATTTGATTTGATTCAACCTGACTGGTGTGATTCCTTCACTGCATAGTTTAGGCAGATTCATAAAGTGAATGCAGGCTTGTTTATCCCTCCTGTTGGGGTGTACAGGGTGAGCTTGATTGACATCTCCCTAACTCTGATATTAGATAAGTTGCACAGGACAGCGACCACAGTGTATTTAATAAGTTTAAACCAGGGCGGCACTGTTAGTGAGCATTCGTTAACCTTATTAATTACACCGTGGCTTTCTGGTTTTTATAATATCTGCTGTGAGAAAAAAGAAATATTAACTTTAAAAAATATATATATATTTTACCAATATAATTTAAAAGGGAGGGTGAGTTTGGGCTTTAATTTAAGGTTGATTGCACAGCATGTTGTTGTTTAGAGAACAAAATAAATCAATAACACAAGGATAAGGTGCAATGCTACCAGCCAAATGAACATTATTATTATATTGTATATTCCTGCTGAAGTGTAATTTCTTCCCAGTAGGCAAGTAAAGGTTTGGCTTTGGTATCTCAGGTCTGTATGCAGCTTTATGGAGCTTTAAAATATCTTTTAATTTAAGACATAGCTCTTCTGAGCAGAGGTATAATCAGCTTCTGCTCAATTTGGCATCTCAACTGCATTTAATATTACCTCCTGCACACAACTGCAATTCAAACATTGGATGAAGAGCTATTTTTCTGTTTGGCAATATTTGAAGAGAAACATTCAAATGCTCAGATATTTGAATTACCTTTATTGAAGAATCCACATTAACATGATTCAGTAGTTCACTTCCTCTGCATGTTTTCATGACAGCTGTGTTACTCGGTCAGTTCTTAACTCGGAGGCCTGTTTTCTGACTGATCCACGCGTAGTACCTTGAGATTCGAGTGTAGACTCCGTACTTCCCGTCCGCGGCGCAATTCTCCCCCCAGCTGACGATGCCTGTCAGGAACCAAGTGCCTTCATAGTTGGTGAAATGGGGCCCCCCACTGTCCCCCTGGCACGAGTCCTTCATCTCTGTCTGGTACCCGGCACAGAACATGTAGCGCGTGACGACTGTGGCGTGGTTCCGGCTGCTCCGTTTGCACAGGGTCCGGTCCACGTGAGGGACCTCCAGCTTCTGGAGCCTGGTGGCCTCGAGGCCCTGAAACCTCAACCTGCCCCAGCCGCTCACCGTGGAGCTGCTCGAGTCCCTCAAGAGGTTTTCTATAAAGTCTTTGGGGCCGATGCAGATGGGACGGCGCTCGTTGGACAGTTCCACTGGACTGGCGAGCTTCAGCAGAGCAATATCGTGGTTAAACTTGGACTTCTTGTCATTGTACAAGGGGTGGATGTGCTGCTCTGCAACCAAATGGTCTCGCTCCGGACCCTCGTCCTTGTCCACATCATGTTCACCTAGAATAATCAAATAATTTATATGCAACTACATGACTTTCTGCACAAGGCAAAGTGTGAGAAGGGACAAATGTCTTCTGATCTTAAAGGTCAAAGCTTTACTGAATGCAAGCTCTGCATTTCCACACAATAATAAAAAGCATT